AAAATTCTGAGAGGAAGGAATGCAATGTATAGCCGATGTTGAATTCTTACTGAAGAGGATATCGGATTGTAATTCGTTTTTCCAGTGTATACACAGTGTATACAGAGTGTAGTTTTAGTGTATACAAAGTGTATATCAATTATATACAGAGTGTATATCAATTGTATACTGAGTGTTTCGAGTATTTTTTTCTGGTGTGTTCATTTTTCTCTACAACTTCTGCTCTATTTATAGCAGTCATGTGAGAGAAATCCGCCCCCTCCATGGTGNAGTTGTTTCCTGTATAGTACTTCTTATCTGGTATAAATATGGAATGCTGGAAGATCAAGTTTTAACTTTTCCACTCTTAGATATATATTATCCTCTTTATCAACTACCTACAACAGTAACATACGTAAATATAAATGATATAACTGAAACAAAAATTAATTCGAGCCCACTGAATTCACAGTGTTTCCTTAAGGAATTTAATCCCCTCCTAGTACCCAAGGTTATGGATTATTTCCTCCCAGGATAGAACGAATTACACACTGGTGTAGCGGTACTTCAAACCCCAGTATTTCAGCGAACGCAAAGTTCGGCAGCAAATCACACTTACAGTTGCTTTGTTTGTAGTTTTAAAACAATGCAGAACAAGGGAGGAGAACTCAGAAGTCGAATGGAAATTCTGAGAGGAAGGAATGCAATGTATAGCCGATGTTGAATTCTTACTGAAGAGGATATCGGATTGCAATTCGTTTTTCCAGTGTATACACAGTGTATACAGAGTGTAGTTTTAGTGTATACAAAGTGTATATCAATTATATACAGAGTGTATATCAATTGTATACTGAGTGTTTCGAGTATTTTTTTCTGGTGTGTTCATTTTTCTCTACAACTTCTGCTCTATTTATAGCAGTCATGTGAGAGAAATCCGCCCCCTCCATGGTGGAACAAGCATTAGGATATCATGGAGGAAGCACTTACATGGTGGAATGAACACTTGCTTGGTGGGAGGAGCACTTGGCCATGATGGGAGGTGCACTAGGCATCTTGTTGCTTTCTTGGTGCAACACAATACACGGATTGAAAAACATCCGTTACAAACACGGATTATATCACGTTAATATTTACTATTAACAAATAAATTTGGTCCAAATAATTAATCAATCGATCGATCATTTGATCAAATCCGAATCCAAATCCCATTTCCTATTCACTCTCATTTTAAGACAATTTCATCTTAAATAGAAACTCAACAATCCAAAACTCAACACTTTTTATTTTGGGATTTTCTAGAGTTTGAAAATGAAAACTCCTTTCCTTATTTGGTCTACCTACTTGAGCCGGATTAAAGGAAACTTTCACATCCGATTAGTTTTCGATCTTTTGGGAATATCTTAACCGATGAATTAGTAATTGTTGTTCAGCCTTAGGTAGATAAAAAAAATGTTTTAACTTTTTTTTTTCCTTTTAAATTTTGCATCTCATATTTTTTACTAACTTCATCGACCGTGAGGACAAGTCCTAAATGTTTTTTTTCTACGAGTTTTACATTCATGTCATACCATATTCTCGAATGTTCTTGCATATTTGATATGGAATCCATTGCACAATTGTGTCTAATAATGCTTGAAGAATAGTCTACACACTCATTCCATCTTATCTTTTCTTGATAAGAAGTATATTATTAGTTGAGTTAAATTACTTGTGATTTTAATCTCGCCACTTAACTAGTCCTTATTGGAAGAAACATGCGCATCAAGTTCAGTTTCCCAAGTATCATGAGCAGATCGATATCAATTATATAAGATCACATTAATCCTGGAATAATAGTACAATTAGATATATTTATAATAGTTATCTTTTATAACAACACTTCATAGCCAAATTTTTTTCGGAACCATTTTTAATATATATTTTTTATAATAATACTTTTTTATAGCAACCAAAAAATATCGGAACAAAATAAAGCTGTTATAGAAACGTTTTATTATATTTTTAGGTGATAAATAAAATCAAAAGAAAGTATTAACAACAATGAAAATGTTGAGGAAATAAATCAAATTTTCTCAAATAATAAAGCAATTGCTTAATTATGTCGTGAAAGTCCTAAAAAAAACACGGCATATATTTTAGGATAGTGACATCAATTGAATTTATTTTCTCCTTTCCAGATTAACAATATTGAAAGAGAAGTTCCCAGAAAGATATGGGACATTCTTGATAGTCCGAGAATGTCTTCTAACCGAACCATCCACCAGTTTCTCGCAATAAAACCTCACCAACCTATGACACCATCATTCTATTTATAGTCATCCATCACTTAGTAATTTATTTTCAACTTTAGTATTCATATTTTGGTTACATATATTTCAATAACTCAGTTCCATTTCCAACCACAATTTTTTTGGGAGCAAAATGGCTGGAGAAGTTGTTCTTTTGGATGCCTATGTGAGCATGTTTGGGATGAGGGCTAGAATTGCACTAGCTGAAAAGGGTATTCAGTATGAATACAAGGAGCAAGATTTGAGTAACAAAAGTTCACTTCTACTACAATTGAACCCAATTCATAAGAAAATCCCAGTCTTGATCCACAATGGAAAACCAGTTTGTGAGTCCTTAATTATCGTTCAGTATATAGATGAGGTTTGGAAGGATAAATCCCCTTTGATGCCCACTGATCCTTATAAGAGAGCACAAGCTAGGTTCTGGGCTGATTTTATTGACAAAAAGGTACAGTCAAATCTCTATATAACAACCTTATTTGTTCTGAATATTTTTAGTGAACTGCTGTTATATAGAACATATATTAACAAAACATGAAAATTGATTCCGGAAAAGTTTAACTTCTATAGTAAAGTGTTGTTATATAGGGATGTTACATGGGGTGACTGTATAGAAATTAAAAATATCCCCTTTTAGTGTTTTTAAATAGTATTTCTTATTGGTCACTATAAAGATTTTAACTATAAATTACTACACCTTATATTTTATATAAAACTCTTTCCTTTGTTAATATGTTCCATCGATATCACTTTAATATTCGGTAGCAATTTCAAATTAAAATTAAAATTTATTTTTAGTGATGTGATTTTATAATCGTAAGAATTTTATGATATGTTTAAAATTATAAATTTTCTTTTTCTTTTAATTTTTTTAAACTTTATGGTCAGTCAAATGCATTCACAAAATGAAACATGAGGAATACTAATTTTAGTTTAATAGGTCTATAGTAGTTTTCTTTATTTTATTTCCTAGGATATTAATAGTGATTATTAATTTACACTAGACAACTTTAGACTTTCCAACATATATATTATTTTTTTCAACTTCAACTTCAAATATACAACATCATAGTTAAATTTCTAGAAATTTAACTATGATGTTGTGACAATGATTGTCTTTTTTTGGGTAAATGCAGGTATATGACAGTGGAAGGAGAATATGGACTACAAAAGGAGAGGACCAAGAAACAGCCAAGAAAGAATTTATAGAGTGCCTAAAATTGTTGGAAGGAGAGTTGGGAGACAAGCCATACTTTGGTGGGGAAATCTTTGGATTTTTGGACGTGGCACTAATTCCTTATTATAGCTGGTTCCCTACTTATGAAAAATGTGGAAATTTTAGCATAGAGGCAAAGTGTCCAAAGTTGGTGGCATGGACCAAGAAATGTGTGCAAAAAGAGAGTGTTGCCAAATCTCTTGCTGAATCAGACAAAGTTTACGACTTTGCTCTGCAGATGAAACAACGTTTGGGCATTGCTTAGAAAAATCATTTGAAACAGCTGAAAATAGGGTAATATTGTTAGGTGTGTGTTGCTGTGGTTTATGTTTCTGCTTGATGTCGAATATCACTAGTAGTTTTACTATATGTAGTTTCTGTTAAACGAATAAATGTATAAATTCTACTGATAGAATAAATGTTCTCTAGAATTGGAGTTCCATTGAAGTCTTCTTGTAATAAATAATACTATAGTTTGTCAGAAACTATTCGAAGAAAATAATTGCGAAAAAAATATATTTTGTTATTATTCCTTCTTTTCTTCTCTTTAGCCGAAAATTTATCGAAAACAGTCTCTTTGCCCTCCAGGGGTAAGGTTTACGTACACACTATCCTTCCCACATTCCAAATTCACTGGGTTTGTTATTGATGTTGTTGTTATTATTCCTCCTTTCTATGGTATCTAGGAAGAATTGAGTGATCTTTTTGTTACAGAATTATTTGTCTTAGATAAAGTCGAATGATTTTCTTTCGTTACAATCTTTTTTAGTAATTTCATGCAATAAAATTAAAGTTGAGTAATCATATATGAAATCAATCTGATTTGTAGTTCTAGCCTTCTAGAGGATCCCAAACAAGAAGAGTGAAAAAATGCAAGATCTTGACATTGTTGAACAGGCCAGAGGAATAGATTTACAATACTTTTACTTGTTGACAGAAATCAAGAAATACTAGAAGATCCATTCCCCATCATAAAGGAAGAACATTTATTACATAGGTGAAAAGCCAGAAGAGAAAAAAAGAAAAAAGAAAACATAATAAAGGTTTAAACCCAAGCCAACAAAGAGACATGTTTCAGAGGAAAAACATTTATTACGAACATTTTTAGTTCATTAAGTTTAAATTCTGGATTCTCTTTATCTCATTCATTCCACTCCAAACTCATAGGCAAACTCGCAAACTTTCTCAGAATCAGGAAGAGTTTTAGAGACACTGTCCCTTTCCAAACACCTTTTAACCCATAAAATCAGTTTGGGACATTCTTTCTCTACACTGAACTTGCCAAAAGTTTCATAGGCAAGAAACCAACTGTAGAAACCAATTAAAGAAATATCCAAAAATCCAAAGTTTTCTCCTCCAAAATAAGGCTTGTCACCAAGTACTCCCTCTATCAACTTAAGTCCACCTAAATAGTCCTTAACTGCTTGTTCTTGCTCTTCTCCTTTTGTTGCCCATATTTTCACTGCATATTCATGTACCTGCATTATTTACACAATATTCCTACATTAAAACTTAGGAAATTTTTATGTTGAGAAGGACATGATTTATTGTAGTCTCACGGAATACAATAACAAATTATTTGACATAAGGGTATTTTTCTTGATATTTTATAAATGTAGTAGTTTATATGTCAAAGATTGTCTTTTAGACCAGAGTTAAGAAACCAACCAAAAAAAATTACTGGAAGTGATTTCTTCTCATTTGTCTAGATTTTTTTGGACGGAGTTACTCAATATAAAGTACTGATAAAAGATAATAGGCATCCAATAAAAAAATCGAGGTGTTCGAACAAGTTGATCCAAACACCACCATTAAAAATATTATTTTTTAGTTCTTATTTAAACTAAACTTGTGTCCATTAATCAAGTATGCTAAATAATTTGATGCAATGGAAAAAATAAAGAAAGAAAAGAGAAAGAATAAGTTTCTTAATTTTGGACTTACGGTATTACCCATATAGTCAGACCAAAACCAAGCTTGAGCTTTCTCATAAGGATCAGAAGGAATCAATGGACCATTTCCTTTCCAAACTTCATCAATATATTGGACTATAACAAGTGACTCACAAATTGATTTCCCATTGTGAATTAAGACTGGGACTTTCTTGTGAATAGGGTTCATTTCCAAAAGCAGTGGGCTTTTATTGTTCAAATCCTCTTCTTTGTACTCATACTTCACACCTTTTTCTGCAAGTGCAATTCTTGCCCTCATCCCATACATACTGCACCAACAATCCAACAGAATCACTTCTTCTGCCATTTTTTCAGCAAAATTTATCAAGTTCAACAACAAATAATCAACAAAAATTATCTCTTTTTACTTGCTACTGAATGTTGATACGAGGGAATATAAATAATGGGTAATGGTATGGCCAGAGGGGTCACAAAGACAGCAACGTACTTTAAAATATTTACGTTTAAATATCAATCATATTATCTTCCTACCTAATCGTATAAAATATAGATTGTTAATATGCATTATTCACCTTTTCTTATTTGCTTTTACATTCTTTTTTAATATCAATCATTCCACCTAATCGTAAACAAAATTCATCGTTCGTATTATATTCCTTCGGCTTCGGATTGTGGTCATTAATCTTGACATAGTTTAACATATAAAGTAAGTGACTCACTTTAAATTTTATGTCCGTATTTGCCCCCAATATATCATATGTTTATATTCTATATTATTCAATTCCAAGCAGATAGAAAAAACTGATCTCAATATCTCATGAAAGGATCACTAGTATATTTAAAAAGGTCAAGAAACATTATTAGCTTTACAAGATTTGATGGAATATATCCAACTAGCTACAATTTCAGAACATAAACACGCACTTGAAACCCTTGAGCATTTGAAAATTATTGGTAGTTGGTCGATCATGGATACGACGCAAAATTTTGTCCATATCAGAATTAATCACCTATATTAAGATTGTCGTTTTGCAATCATTATAATTATAATCCTTGAAATTTGAACCTTCAATACAAACTTGAGAAAATAATAGAGATGAGCTTGTAAGTAGGGGTGTACCAACCCAACCCTATCGGTTTGGATTGATTTTGTTTTGTCGGATTTTTTCGATTTTTCAGGTTTTTTGTTAATTAAATATTATTTTAATTTTACTTTATTAAATTTTTGATAAGTAAATATATGTTTAGTAAAAATATAAAAAATTGACAAATTATCTATTAAAATATTTTTAAGGGAGAATTTTCTTAGTAACACATAATAGTTATTTTTTTTATTCGTTTGACAATAATTTTTTGTTGATATATATTTTCAAGGTTAACCGAATTAGTAATTAAATATAAAAACCAATATGATACCTAAATAATACTAATTATCACTTCACATTCGAAAAAAGATATAAGAATATAATAGATCTTAACATATGATATGAATATGGACGGACATAGAGATTGACGCATTTCAGTAACACTTGATGAGAACGCGATCATATAACCCATTATTTAAGGTTAATAATTATGGATCATATTAAATATTATATCCCACAAGAGAATCCCAAATATTTTAGATATTCTTTAAAGAAAATTTTATATAAAATCTTAAAAGTATATATAAAAATTATATATTTATATGTCAGTTTGGTTATGATTTTTTTACTCAATACCAAACCAAATCAAACCAAACCTAGTCGGGTCTTTTAATCGGTTTGGTTTGACTTTTCAGTTTGGTGCGATTTTCCGGTTCCGTTTGTACACCCCTACTTGTAAGTTTGGAATAGGTTCAAAAAAGTAGTACTTCAAATATACCTTTCGAGCATTTTTTGTTATTTAAGTTAGGATATTTTCTTGGGAGAAATTCAAAAATAGCCAGATTTACAACTGGTCGTTCAAAAATAGTCCAGTTTCAAAAGTAATCGAAATTTAGCCACTTTTCATGTAAAGATAAATCTGAGCGAAAATACTGTTCAAAACCCGAAAAATACGCCAGTATATTATGCTGGAGTTCCAGCATAAGTATACTTGAACTCCGACATATTATACTGGAGTTCCGAGATAAGTATGCCGGAACTCCAGCATAATATGATGGAGTTCCAACATAAGTACACTAGAACTCCAGCATAATATACTGGAGTTCCAGCAAGTATACCGGTCCATCATAATATACTGGAGTTTGGAGCACCGGTGCTCCAGTCTCCAGTATATTATACTGGAGCCAGCAAAGTATATCGGTCCAGCATAATATGCTGGAGTTCATACACAGGTGCACCGAACTCCAGTATATTATGCTGGATCGGTCTCTTTTGCAGCAAAATAGTGGCTATTTTTATTGACTTGGTAAACGCTGACTATTTTTGAATGACCAGTCCGAAAACTGACTATATCGTACTATTTTTACTATTTTCTTTCATTGTCAAATAGTAAACAAACTCCGTCTTTGAGGGAACTGTGAAATACAAAGAATTTAGCTAGAACTCACATTTAAAGGTACAATTTTTACAGTTCTTCTATTTTTGGTCTATTTTCTAGAATTTGGTGCAATTTATGAGATGCAAGTTTTGCTATTTTTAGTTTACCTTTTTGTGTCTAGTGCAATTTTGCACTGTAGTTTCTGAAATTTTATGGAACTTTTCTAGCGTTACTAGTTAAATTCTTTTTTTCCCCCCACAATTTCGACAAATAGCGTTTGTTAAATATTTGATGAAAAATAAAAGTATAATTTTTTGTAAGCTTAAAGTACCAATAATGCTCAGAGTATTTTTTTTAAGGAATTATTTAAAACATATCCTTAACATAAGGGAAGTATTTTTATAAATCATAAATATTTTTCTATCTTTAGTCAGACTTCTCTGTAACAACATCATTATATAACTGACATTCACTAAAAAAGCCAAGCTTTTTATGGAACCAATTTTCAAGCTATGTTATAATATATGTGTTGCGGAATATCGTGGGTTAACTAGCACATAATCAACACAAAGCAAATAGAGAAAAAAAATCAACACAAGAATTTAACGAGGTTCGGCTAAGACTAATCCTCGGGGCAAAAACAAAGAGAGTTTTCCACTATGAATGAGAAAAGAAGCACAATACAATTTCTAGGATCCCCAATTACAATCCCTATATTTTGATCCCAAAAGGTCCCAAACATATAAGAGAAAGGTTTCCCAATTTGACAAGGACTATAACTTTTCCTTTCCCAAATCTATTAGGACAATGAGTTTTCTTAAACCTATAGGGATTATGGATTTTCTAAAAATACAAGGAAATAATTCAAGACACAAAATAACAAATCTTCCCCTTAGCTTGAATTCTCTTCATCAACAGGAGCAACGTCTCTCTACCTTGCCCTCAGCCCTCGAGAGGGCTCTATTGAGTATTGCACACATCAATCAAGTCTAGGCAATGCCTAAACTTGTTGGCCGGGACTGCCTTGGTCATCATATCAGCTGGATTATCATGTGTAGACACTTTCTCAACATTCAACCCCTTTTGATATAATGTCTCGAATAAAGTGATGTTTGACTTCAATATGCTTCTTCCGCCCATGAAACATCTGATTCTTAGTGTCACACCTCCTTTTCCTACCCCCGGAAAGGTATAAGAGAGTTTTTCCAATTAAAGTGACAATAACCGAAACATGATTATTTATTAGAGTCAAATTCAGAGTCGCCACTTGGGATAATTTAGGGTGTCCTAAGTCATCGGTTTAAAATCCTGAATCGAGGAAAGTTGACTCTTATTTATGGTCTGCGAACACAGAAATTCGGGTAAGGAATTCTGTTAATCCGGGAGAAGATGTTAGGTATTCCCGGGTTCCGTGGTTTTAGCACGGTCACTTTAATCATACCTGACTCAATTAAATTGTCTAATTACTTATTTTAGAACCTATGTGCATCTACTCCTTTACCGTTTTTATTTGCTTAATTACTCTTAATTGAGGAATTATCTAAAAAAAAAATGAGTCACGCGTACGTGTCAAAAGTCGTGTTACGCATACGTGTCCACAATTAATCACGCTTTATTAATATTAAAAAAAGTTTGGCCAAAGTTGCGCGAACGCATACCGCGATTTATTTTTAGAATCATAATTATGTCATGCAAACATGTACATAATCACGATGATAGATTAATTACGCCTAAAGCAAGCTACAATGTTTGTGAAAAATTGCTTGATTTCCTAAATTGTCGATTAAATGTAAAGAGTCAGTGAGTTATAAGAGATTTTGATTGGAGAGGCGGTCTGAGTTTTTTTACCCAATTTTCAAACAATTCGAGAACCAGACTTGAAACTTGGCTGAGACAAAGATATCATTTTTATACTTAAAGAGTCTACATGATTTAGCAACAAAAGCTAACAGAGAACTCAATTTACACACATTTTGCAGAAGCATCAATTCTTGGTTAAAAGGAATTCTAAGCAACTCAAACCGGAAAGTTTACAACTGGGTAGACAAATTAAACATGCAGAATTGCATTACAAGAAACAAAAAGCCTGAGCACGTAGAACAACTGTAAATTTTAGTAACATCGTCAAATAATTAAACGGGTAAATCTATGAAGCACCGCTAAAGAGAATGACCTTTATATTGATGAATAAAGCTGAAAATTTGTAACTCAATCGGAATGACAAATCAACAATCGTTGAACTGAAATGTCGAAATTGTGAACCAGAACCTCGAATCGGCACCGGAAAATTCAAAACCCGAACGCGAATTCAATTAAACCTCACCTCCAACAGTGTTAGCCACGAGGTCACTACAACCCATTCCACAACGAGAATTACCACCACAGTCATTACAGTCAAAGACCAGAAGCTGCCGTTTTTTTTTGAGTGTCTTAGCTTCCATTTTCAAAAGTCCTTCATGGTAAGTTTTTGATAAATGAAATTCCTGGGGCTTCTTTGGGCTAATGTTAGTAAGCGGTGTCCGACCAAAAGCTTTGCCTCCAATAAAAGCAAATGTATCTGCTGCAATGATACTACTGAATGAAATTAAGGTTGCCACAAGCCCCACGGTCCACTGAGTTTGGCCTCCAAAGATGATGACCGCCGTTCTAGCTTTTGTTAGGAATTGCGGCTCCCTTTTTTATTTGTCTTGCTGAAATCCTTTTTCTCTTTTTGTTAGGTCTAGGTCTACGAATTGAAATCTTGGGAAAAGTTTCTATAATTGAGTATTTTATATTGTGGTGAGAATGGATGATGATCATTGGGTTAAAAGGAAATAGACGACTAAGATTAAATCTTGCACTTAAGTGGGCTAATGAGTTGGGAAGAATGAGCTAAGGGTAATTGGGTTGGACCACATTTTTTGGGTTTGAACTTAGGTTAAAAAGACCAAATAATACAATGTATCTATAAAAATGTATAAATCACTCTAAATTAAAATAAACTAATATAAAAC